GAATCTTCAGGAAAATAGCGAAGCTCTTGAGAAGATAAAACAAATCAGAAGAAGAAAAAATTCAGAGGATTTAGAAAAGAAAGGTTCTGAGCATTCTAAGTCTCAGTTAATGACGCTAAGACATTTTTGAATCAATGGGAAAAGCGATGTTTTTAGATAAAAGTTTCTTGGACCCCCTGCACGGCTAGGAAAGACCCTCTAGCTTTTCCCTTTGGTGTTTCCAAAATCAGTCCCTGTCCAGTGGTGATTCAGAGTACCCTGACAGCACACCAAAACAGACTCGGAATAGTGTTAGAGCCTTCTCAAGCTGTCTTATTCTATTTTTATGTAAAGTTTTTCCTTTTTTCCCTTCCCCTTTTTTAAAATTTGTGATTTTAATGAAAGTTTACTGCAAAGTTGGATTTTCATTCATTCATTGTGGCACATTTTCCTCCCTACTCCCCCCCAGTTCACATTCAAAAATATCTTTATTCACTACGCCACATTGAAAAACAAGGAACTCATGCAATATTATTCAAAATGGGTGACCCTGGAGGACATTATGCTGTATGAAATATCTCAGTCACAAAGGAAAAAATACTACATGGTGCCACTGTTTTAGAATGGGTCCGACATCAGGGTTGGGGTATGACAGAAAAAACTGGATAAATTGTGTATGTTATATTGAAACAGATGAGGGAAAGAAGAGATTGGAGATATGATTGAGTATTATGGTTAACACAGGAGTCCAGAATCAATGTTGCATAGAGAAGTGTACTCAGGGTGGTGGGTGGGGAGTAAGCGATGGGGGAATTGTATACTAATGTAGGATTTTTTTTCCTTTTTCTTTTCAGAGAGGGGAGTGAAATGGTAGGGGGGAGGCAGGGAGAAAAGTGTGGCAATGAATGAATGGAAATCCAAAACCTCTGAAAAAGTCTATTAAAAGTAATAATTAAAAAAAAAGAAAAAATCTTCATTCATTGTTGCCTAATTTCTTCCCTCCCCCTGTAAATTTCTTTCAGTACATAAAAAGTATAAAGAAATGAAAAATAGAATCTGTGCATTACCTCCAAAGTGAAAACTCAATTTCGCTTGTCAAAAAAAGAGAAAAATAAAAGAAACTATAAACTTCATTCTTAAAACTTCATTATTTTTACAAACTGTGGGCCAAGTCCTAACCTTTTTGTGGTGGAAGGTCACAGTGAACATCGAAGAACACACACTGACAGGGCTTCAAGGAAAGAATTAAGCTCAATTACAGTACAACGTGTGTTTCTGTGAGAGTCATCTTGAAAGGGTCCCTTGCTAAGCAGTCTAGAGCACCTTAGGGAAGCTGGCCCACTGCCCTCACCCTTGGGCTATTCAGAACGTGCAGGAGACCCATTCTATCACAGACCCTGCTTACCCTGGGGGAAAACCAAACCAAGGACAGGGCAGCTACAATATAGCTGGCTCAAGGTTTAGTGTATTTAAAATTGATTCTCTCAATGCTATTTAACTGACCTTTTTATGTAAAAGGAAGGTGTTGGTCATACTGCCATTGAGTACTTGACTGATCCTAGTCAAGACAGGTGTAGGCGGTGGTTGTTGTGAACCTTCGAGTTGGAACCAACTCATAGCTGACCTTCTAGCAGATTTTCACAGACAGTTAATCACACGGAGGAAATTATGAATCCTCCTGCTGAGCAGCTGTTTGATTTGGAACTGCACACCTTTGGAACTGGAGCACAGATTCTTAACACAAGACCACCAGAGCTCCGTCATCCTGAAATGTTGGAGGTTGAATTATCATGTAGAAATGGAAAGATTGACAGTCAGACAATTTGAGCTATCTGCTTCTACATTACCTGACTTAGATGGAGCCTGGGCCTCTTTCTATACTCACTAGCTCTCTGGATCAGTTAGCACTGTGGTCTGGAGACCACATCCTCACTATAGCTTAGCTCCACGATTGAACATGTGACTCCTATCAGTTTGGTGTCCTAATCTAAATTGAGATTGGGAATCTCAGATCATTTCTTCCCATTCTCACAATTCAAGGGGATATGGATGGCTCCAAATACCAAGAGTAACTCTGGGATATCTGGGACATGTCTTTATTATGAAAGAATGTGCTCATTTCCTTGAGGTTAAACAATCCAAGGCAGTCACTAACAAGAGATAGTACATAACCCTGTTGATTTCATGCCCTTCCAACAAACAGTCAGAAAGGTCATATGAAATCCCTGGGTAGCACAAAAATGTTACATCAATGGGGAAGAAAGGATTGGTAAGCAGCACCACAGGAGAAGAAGCCTAGCAGTTGACTTCCAGAAACATAAACAACAACAACAACAACAAAATATATGATCTTGTTCATGGAATCGTAAATGGTACAAGTACTCTGAAAAGTAATTTGGCGTTTCCTAAAAAAAAAAACTGAACATAGTAACTCCATATGACCCAGCTATTCCACTTCTAGGAATATTAAAGCAAATTCTCAAGCAAATTAGATCTGAGACACAAATAAAGAGTTTTTAAACCAGTATTCGTATCAATGTGATCAGGCTGTTCGTTCATAGGGTCACTATGAGTCGTCTATGACTCGATGGCATCAAACAACAACATCATTCGTATCAGTGTTAAAAACCATCTCAAGAACATGGAAACAGTCCAGATGTCCTACTAAAACTGAGTGGGTAGAGAAATTGTGGTATGTTCACACAATGGAATACTATGCAGCACTCAGAAGCACATTTTCAACAAATAGTACCTAACTTGGGAGAGTCTAGAGAGCATTATACTGAGTAAACTAACTCAGTCTCATAAGGACAAATACTGTATAAGGCCATTTTTGTAAAAGTAAAATGATAACTAGCAAAACATGTGGGGATCCAAGGCAGGAAGTTGTGGGAGCAGAGAGGTGAGGGTGGGTAGGAGTGAAATCACAGAGCTGCACAATTTGATGGGTAGAAGGAGAAAAAAATGAAATTATAAAGTTCTGCTGGGACCCTGAAAAGACAGTGTCATGGTATTCATAGTCCAATAGTGATTAATATTCTAAAATATAATACATGGGAATGATTATATGAAACACAATGTGAATGAAGAATAGTGTGAATCACAATACATATGAAAGTTTGTAAGGAAATCAATATAAAACAAAAGTTGAAACAACTAACGAAAGAAAGTGAAAATATATGAAAACCTTGCTGTTGTGTGAAATTTGACTCGGTGACACTGTTGAATAGAGCAGCAATGCTCCACAAGGCACCTGGGTCTGAACAAGCTCTAGAAGCAGACTGCCCCGCTTTCTTTGATAAGCAGGTGGTGTGTTTGAAGCCCTGAACTTTGGGGCAGCAGCAGAGAACTTTAGTCACTATACCACCGAGGTCTATATTCTGTGGAGATGACAGAACCCTCTGGATTAGTTCTAGTTTGTAACATATGAGGCCTCCATGAATTGGAACAATGATCCCATTTTACTTGGATCCACAGTCAAAATTCACGTCAACAACTGTAAAGTAAACAAAAGACATGTTGCACTTGGAAAATTTGCTGTCAAGGATCTCTCCAAAGTTAACAAAAGCAAGGACATAATTTTAAACTAAAGTGTATCTCACTAGAGTTAGGACCCTCTCCAAATTATTGAGGTGTAATATCAGTTTGAGGACTAAGGTGCGTCTGAATCAGGCTGTAGTCTCTCCGATTACTTGCTATGGCTCTAAGAGCCAGAGAGTGAACAAGGATGACAAAAGAAGTATTGACACCTTTGAGCTGTGGTGGGGGAGAAGAACACTGAACATCCCTTGCATGTCCAAGAGAACAAACAGGTATACCTTGGAAAGTGTGCAGAAGCAGTGCTTATGGAGGCAAGAATGATGAGGCTTCTCCTCACCTATGTTGGGCATGTTGCTAGGAGATGCTAGTCCTTGGGGAAGGCATGATGTTAGGAAGGATGGAGGTCAACGAAGGAGAGGAAGATCCTCAACCAGATAGGTTGGTATGGTGACAGCTGCAGTGGGCTTTTGCCTGTCAGGAAGTATGAAGATGGCTCAGGCTAGAACAGAGTTCAGATCTATTGATTATAGGGTCCCTATGATTCATGCTCATTTTGAAGACACTTAACAACAACAACAACAACAGAGTGCATCTTATTTAACCCATGATTTTTCACTTAGGTCATATGGTTCTGAAAATTGAACAGTTGGCATAAAGGTGAAAGAAGAAGAGACAATACCTTTGTTTCTCCTGAATTGTGGTGTTGGACAAAAGTATCAAATACCTCATAGACAACAAAGAACGAGCATTGTCTGTTTCAAAAGAAGTGCAGTCAAGGTGTGTGTCTGAGAGGCAAGGATGATAAAATTTTATCTCATCTCCTTTGAGTATATTGTCAGAAAGTGCTAAGACTTAGAAAAAGACATCATGTTTAAAAAAGGCGGAGATTCAGAGCTAGATAGAAGAAAACACTTGACAAGATGAACTGATACAGTGTCTCTAACAATGGACTCGAACCTTTCAGAGAGGAGAAGAATGCCTGAGGACAGGGCAAGGTTAGAATCTCTTGTTCTTTGAGTTACTATGAGCGGTAGGCAGCTTGACAATGTCTAATAATGATGACAGCAATGACTCAAGACAAAACCTAAAGCCACCACGTCACCCATCTTACATGTATCACCAGGTTCTTAGGTATTTTTTTAAAAAATAACATATGTAAGATCATGTTATAAATAGACTGTCTTGACCCAGTGGTCTTGACAAGGGACTCAGATGTACCAATGATCATACAGGTGGAAGAGCATTGGGTGATGTTTTGTTAGTAGAGCACAAGATAATCCTCAGGAGTTGTCCTTCCCAGAGACCTCTGTGGAGTCAAAGTCAAAGTGTGTCAAGTCAGCATTGACAGGTGAGACTTACCTCACCCTTATCTGATCTCTACTGGAGGAGGAGCAGCAGGAGGAGCTGAGTGGAGGTGGGAGAGCCCACCTGACCCAATGTGGGTATTAAAAGTGCTCATTCATGTGAGAGCAGAATGAACCATGTCCGTCCTTGGGATGCTGCTCTCGCTCCTGCTGCTGACCTCGTCACTGCAGCAGCCAACGTCATCACACTCGGTGTCGAAAGATATTGAAAACCATGCTGATAGAGACAAAATGCGTATGGCAGATGTGATCCTGTCCTCCCTGAATGCATCCACCACCTGCCTGGAGAAGAAGAAGAATCTCATTCTGGACGACGTGAGTTATCTCCGAATTCTGCAAGGTGAGTGGGGTGCCAGTCACAGTTTACTCTAACTGAGAGAGTAGTCTTCTCTGATCATGGAGAGGAACAAATGGGTGACTCGTTTTCCTGAGTGTCCTGGACCTGGACATAGATTTCAATTTAACAGGGAAAAAAAAATAAAGTATGTTGTTATTTTCATAGTTATAGATCCTTTGCACTGCTCTGCCACCATGTTACTAAAAAAGCAGGGAGCAGAGTGTCTTCTTTCAGTGGGTATTTATGGGGTGACCACTTCCATTGCAAGATGAGGGTCCAGAGAAGAGACCTTCAAGGTTGAGATCCAACCCGAGCTTCCTCTGCTTCCAGTGAAATTTCCCTGGCGGTGCTGAGGGAACAGAGTAGTGCTTGTTGCGCTTTGGAAGACTGAAGATGACGTGGTGTCCCTGCCTTCAGCTGGGATCTGGACAGGGGATTTCCCAAACCACCCATCACCTCTGATGGTGGCAGAGTTTGCTCACACTTGGAAACTCAGCGTTCCGCAGGAGGTTGGGTTACAGGACAAATCAGCTTCAGTCCCTGGGGCCCCACCTTGACTTCACAACCATGTGGTCTCCTCACATTTCTCTCTGTAACCCTCATATGCCAGGCTTCCTTCTAGAAAGCCCCCAGCCTTACATCTGCATGTCCATCTAATAGCATGGAGTAGGGTGAGGCAGGAAAGAAGTACCAAACTGTGAGCTGACCTAACTTTATCTCTGTTGCATTTGTAGAAAGTTCTTTGTTGTGTGACTCCCAGGGGTTCATGCTGTTAAGAGGCCTCTCTCCCCCCTCATCGCTGGATATTCATTTGTTTGTTTAATCTCTTTTCTCTTTCAAAGCAGATTGACTGAAAACACATTCTGTGCAAATACATAATCATTTGTATGGCAAAGAAAATCCATTTCCAAATGGAATTGCAATGAATACAGGGCTTAGGATTTAAAACAATACGCTTTTGAGGGGCAGCATTATACTCACCAGTGGTCACAAGTGAGAGGAATTGTGAGATCAGATGTACATGTACATTTTTGGAGGGAGATACAATTAACACAACTGCAGTATGTGTTGTAACTACGTATTTCTCCTGCACACATGGAAGATTGAACTAATTGTGTTTCCTCCTAGCGTATGTCAAAGGTGTTAAGGAGCCATGGGCCAAGAACCCCGTGATGGAGCCAGTAATCAAAAGGATGGAGACGTTTTCCATGAAGCTGGATGAGCTTCTCAACAGAAGCATTTCTCACCTGAACAAGGCTTCATTTAGCAACCCCAATGGTAAATAGCCACAGGAGGAATGTGGTATGTTACAGCCTCCTCTGAAGCCTGGGATGGTTAGAACCGCCTCCCATCCTAAACAAGCCCAACTACAGGTTAAGTGTTCCACTCGGACTTGACTCTAGGCTAGAAGGTCCCTCCATCCCGCGTAAATTTTGATAGGAATGAGCAAGTCAAGAGTCCTAGACCGATGAACACCAGATCTGAACCTTGACCTGTCTTGTGCCTCTGAGGACGCTTGTTTGCACTTCCTCCAAGAGCAGTTGGCTTGTTGTGTGGGCAGTCCATGGTAATAGGTGTCCTTGACAGCACATTGCCAAGTGCACCACGTCTTTTGCTGTCTAGACTGCTGTGAGCATGCTGATTGTGGAGCGAAGTAAAATGAGCTAGTTGACAATGTCAGCCTTTTTCTCCCCCTATCACAATGTGTCATCATTCCTCCCAAGAGGGTGAAAGAGTGGATGTCAGTTTAATGTAAGCTGCCCACTCTTATGCTTGTGGTCCTCATCCTAGAACAGTGGTTTATACCAGAGTGTGGAAGATCTAGACAGTAATTGAACTGCTTCTACTGCGAAGACTAACATCTTGTAATAATGTTCTTTGGTCCCTAAACTCCTCAAGTGTCTGTTCTTGTTAGTGTGGGGTCACAGTATAAGGTCAATCTATAACATTGGTAGTAGGTTGTATTAATGGCTGACATGGGCCCAAATTACTAATTCATCAACCTCAGCTCAGGTGACTCCATGGGTAGCAGAGGGAACTGTCGCTGATAGCATTATCAATGGTTGTTATGTTACAAGAAGATTGCAAAACCTGTATTCTGAGGCTACACAGTGATTGGAACCTCTAAACTTTTGTTTAGAATCATCTTATATTAACCATTAGCAACAACCACAGATTGTGAAATCCAAGGACTCAAGTGTTGTTGTTGTTGCTAAGTGCTGTCAAGTCATAGGCGACTCATAGTGACCATATCAACGAAAGTCCTTGACACTTGCATGTCTTTCATCCTTTCTCCAGGTTCATAGGGTTACCAGAGGCAAGCTTTGTATGGAGGTGGATACCACTCCTGCATCAAGTAGTATTTGTAAAATTTCTCAAGGTTCTTTATATGATGCTATCAATTTTATCTAAGCCATGAAATATTGTGGTGCTGTATTTTATTACTTAAATACCAACTATAATTTGGAGAGCTCAAATTTACTATGGTATAGTGGGTTTATAACGGGAGGTCCCCCTTTCAGTAAAAATATTTTATGGGAGAAAATTCAGGACCATTTTCCTTAGTCAAGAGTCTTGTATTGAGTTAACATTGCCTGGTTAGACTCTATGCCTGATTAAAAAAAAAAAAAAATTAAATGTTTTTCTAGAATGACTTGTGGCAATGTATTCCCCAAAGGAATAACTTGAAGTCAAACAGGCTTCTGGAAGGGCTCAGGGACAGCTCTATAATGGGGCATTAATTTAATTACATCTCAATCTTAGAACCTAGAGTGAAGGTGAATTATCCAGTGCAAACTGTGTCAGAAAAAGTCGAGAGTGCAACTTACCCCATGCTGCTTTCATTCTGAGGCCTGTATCTCTTGTTAAAGAAGCCCTTAGACCATGTGTGTATTTACATCTCAGGCACTGAGTAGTTATTCTTATCTCTGTCCCTGTCCAGCACTACTTTGAATTTTCTCTTTTTTAGAAGTAGAACTGATCATCCAGGAAGATTTCTGGAAGGTTCCTCAAGATTTGCTCCTTACCCATGACACAATGATCAGTGTTTTAGGCATCCTAGAACCTCTGAAAGCGAATATACGCAAGGAATGCTTAGTGAATCTATTGCAAAGCAGGTGGGTTCAACTGCCTAACCCCATTCCCTAAAGATTCCAAAGCACTTTTCTTGGGTTCTGAGGGTCCCCACATATGAATCCAAAAGTCTATGTAAAACTCGGTCCACTTGCCCGGGGAATCACAGACACCTCTTTCTCCTGTCTGTTCTGGTCCTTTTCAGCTCATTCATCACTCAGCACAATGCCCACCTCTTCAGTCCACACCACTGTGTCATTTATGGCCCAACCTCACCACTCGTGCACACCTTCCAGAGGCCTGCGTGATCTCCATTCCATCCTCACCCACTTTAACCACAGCACTCTTCCCTAAGCAGCTCCTTTGGTGAAATAGAAGTGCTCTAAACCCAGATGCTTTTCAGGGAAAATGAGACAGTCAGCTCCCATAAAGATCCTTACATGTTGTAAGACTTTGTATAATTCGTCTTCTAATCCTATAGAATTGTTAAATCAAAATCCACTTGATGTCACAATCCTGACGAGGGTAGTTATGAGCACATGATCATACTCAGAGGAGTTATAGGCCCGAATGGGAAACTCCGTGACTTCAAATTCCTTTTAATGACTCACAACACCTTTTCCCCTGACAGCAGTCACCCTGAGTCTTGCACGTACTCAGACGTCTGCAGGTACGTAGTGACCAAGTCTGTCAACACACACAGCCAGAGAATCTTCCAGCTGATGTACTTCCTTTTCTCCAAAATGGTAAGTAGGAGTTTGGCAAGGTGTTTGAGAGCACAAGATGGGTCAACAAGCATTCTCTATGATTCATTTAAGGAAATGACCAAAAGTACCATGAGAATCTGCTTACTTCTGAGGGGGCAAGGCTTGTCTCATGTCCTGTGGCGATGGGATCAGGATGAGTTAGGTCCTGGAAAAAGATACCATGCTTAGTGAAATGTAAGACCAGTAAAATAGATGAGTACTTTGAGTGAGATGGACTGACAGCAGCTAAAGATCTGACGTTTCAATAATTTCATCATTTTTACAGTGTAAGCATAATGCTTCATTAACAACTCATCAGGGCTGATGACAGGGGACTATAGAACTTTGTAAAGACCTTACTCAAGTCCTGTCCTCCTGGCATCACTGGAGATGTGCTGTCCCTGACTCAGAATGCTTACTGAGCTGCCCAAGAGCAAGTGTCTAGGACACGGTGGTGTCAGCACTTGAACTCTCCTCTCTGTCACTTAGAGGACTTCAAGAGTAACCAAGTCCAAAGAATGTGAGAGTGCAGGTGCAGATAAATCCTGTAAAATAGGATGAAGGCCTGCCCTGGTTCAGCCACCTGCCCGACCACCTGAGAATGCAGATCCTTCCCAGGAGCGGTGGCTGCCCTTGTCTGCATTTGGTGCTGACTTCTTTGTCTCTGGGTGTTTGTCCTCCAGATTGGATGCACAAATGGGATGTTCGCAAACACACAAGAGTACCTGAACTTCTTCTGTATTGGCTTGATGATAGATAATAATGAAACTGAAAGCAGGAAATACCACAGTTCCTTCCGCGATGACTTTTTGGAAAACAGTGAGTCCCTCACTTCTCGCTCAAAGTAGCAGTTTTTATGATTCAGAAATGAGTGTCTACACACGCTAACATGTACATCACAGCCCATGTGCACATGACCTCAAGACACGTTCATGTACAAGGGACCATGTAAACCGCAGACAGGCATATATGTGTGTACACATGCGGGCACAGTTGGAAACATGCTCTTTGGACACACACAGCAATGTGTGTGTGTGTGTGTGTGTGTGTGTGTGTGTGTGTGTGTGTGTGTACGCGTAGAAATTTTTCATATAGCAAGTGAAAATACCAGATTTCCAGTTGGATTTAAATTCCAAAGAAAGAGAAACTCTTAGTTAAAATGTTCCATAGTATCACATGTAATCGATTTGTACAGTGGAAACCAGCTTTGGGTTCTCAAGCCTCACCGTGTTCCGACTTCCACAGGGTTAAATTTTACTGCCTTTCTACCAATTGATTTAATGGAAAACATTTTATTTCATCTTGTTACAGGTTTTATATCACAACCCTGGATTTCATAGGTTTTATTGCAGTAAAAAGGGACGCTAGAAATTCCAAGATAACTGAATGTGTTCCATATTTTATCAGCCATCACTAAGAGATTTGCTTCCTGCCTCCCAAAACTGTCTCAGTTATTAAAACACTTGACAGACTAACGGAACAAAGGCAGACTGAAATACTCAGCGATGAGGCTGGAAGGGAAGCCTTGCGTTTTACACTTAAGTATAATGATCAAGTCACAGAAACGATATTTTAAAATGTTGGTTTTGGTTAAAATATTGTTTTTTTACAAAATAGATTTTAAGACTATACTTTCGCAGATCATTTCTATAATTCATTAAAATATTGGATATTATAAGAATTATTCAGTACTACTATGTCCCTTATACTATTTTTAAAAATTTTTATTTTATATGGGTATGTGTGCAAAATGAATACACATTGTGCTTCGCACTATCCTTCCTTCACGTGGTTTCATACAAAGGTTCCCATTCATTGTATTTCGTAAAGTCAGTTTCCATAGAAATATTCCCCCTTTACCTTGTCTTTCAGTTTCCTGACATATCTTTCACATTTCTTTCATCCTCTCCCTTCACCTAACAAATTGTGCAATCTCAATCTTCTGCTCCATCCTCACACCTCTCCTCCCACGCCTTCCCTTCTTTGACCATCATGCACATTTTATTAGCCATGAACTGATTTGAATATAATTATGTATTTGGGTTGACCTTCAGATCACTTTGCTCTCTCTAGCACTTAAACATCCTTGACCTAGGCCATAAGGAAGAGGCAGAGCACAAATCCAGGAGCCTCTGTGGTGAGGGTGGAGCTGTGGGTGCTTCATCCAGCTAGTTTTTCAAGTGTCACCTTCTGGGCTGACAGGACCCTAGTGGAAGAGGCAGGTGATGGGTTTTGGTGGAGGAGGTGAACCAAGGGGGTAGGCCATACAGTACGACCACCTCTCTTTCTTTGTTTCAGTCATGCTGTGTGGAATTGCTGGATTCTTTGATTTTTACAAATCCCACTGGTTTGTGAATATCCTTCGCTGGCAAAAGCCTAGAGATGGATGCTTCAACACTGGTAAGTGAAGATTGAGGGAAAAGTGGGTCATAGGGATGGACTGCACATTCTAGACAAGTGAGGCAGGGATCTTGTGTGATGATGGGTGCAGGCGAGACTGTGAAATATGCACGTACACCTGCACAAATGAAGGTGGGAGGAACTGGGGCTTTGCACAGCACAGAGGGGCACAGTGGAGTGCTGTGTTGTTGAACACTCTCATCAGCTCTCATCATAAGGACCCTACACACACGAGGACCAGTCAATGCCAGGTCTCACACCATCCTTACACCCTCTCACTGCTTAAGCCCTTTGTTGCTCTCACTGTGACAACACATAGCATTGAAATGCTTCATTTCTGCCACTAACCGTCCCCTTTTCTGAGCAAGATTTCCTGTTGTAGAGATTGGTCCCTCCTGATGACATGTCCAAAATACCCCAGACAGAGCCCCACCTTCCTTTCCTCTAAGGGGCACTAAGACTCCACTTCTTCCTAGAAAGATTTGTTTCTTCTGTTGGCTGTCCATACAGATATTCAGTATTCTTGGACAACACACTGTTCAAAGGCATCAAGTCTTTTTCAGTCTTTCTGATTCACTGTACAGCTTCTACACACGTTGAAGCTTCCACAGATACTGATTATGGATTCAAGGAAAGACAATCTGTTATGTGAATCTTTTCTTTACATTGAGCTATGATCAACACTTAAAGGTTGAGGATTTATATCTGTGAAACAACCAGAATGTTTATATGATTTACCTTATCACCTTATGGTGATCTGTGATTCTTGGTGGTGGTCAGGATTGAGTCCTCAATATATCAAAGGTATGCCTGACCTAGCAGTGGCTGGCCTCCCAGCATCATAGCAACATATAAGTGACCACAGTACATCATCCTGACAGGGGAGTGGTGGAAATCATTTGGAGAATGAGCAGAGGTTCCTAAGTAAAGAGGCTGCAATGGGATGAGGATTGTTTTCCTAATGAAAGAGTCAGTTACCATCAACATTCCTAGCACCTGAAGGACAGTGGAAAAGTGGGTCTGTGTGAGGCACCAGCAACATTTATACAGTCCCTGCAAGCTGGCTGCAATAATTGTTGACATACACATGAAAATGGGGTACAATAAAGGCTATAATCGGTGCCCCTGCATTCACTAAATTGTGTCATTTTCTCCGCAGATGATTCCTCTCTCCACGGTACTTCTCTTGCGAGTGCTGCCCTAGGTGGCTTCCTATATGCCCTGGAAAAGTACCCACAAGCGTACGGACATCTACCCGACCTACAGAGACAATTACCAAGGTTAAACTTCCCTTGAGAAAGATGGATCCAAGAATACCAATTGAAATGAGATATACCCTTTCAATCCTTTCCATTCAATCTAGGGTATTCTTTTTTCTTTTCTAATATAAGGACTTTTTAAATTTGAAAATAAAAGTCAAGGGGGGTGTTTTTATATTGTTTTAATTTGTAATCGTTTATTTACAAAATTTGAATACATTGTTTTCAAGAACAAATTCTATCAAATTCCCTCACCCCCTCATCAAGTTTTATAACCCCATGATTAATCTCTCCTCCCCATGAACATCCTCATCTCTCTGGTTCCAACCTCTCCCACCCCTCTTGGATCCTTATACTCACTCTACAATAATGCTTTTATACAATATTTATCCTTGTGGGACTGAGTTAGTTCACTCAGCATATTGCGCTCCAGTCTCTCCCAAGTTAGGGAAGAGTTTACAAAATCATTTCTCTTGCATGTTGCCTAGTATTCCATTGTGCGAATGTACCATAATTTCTCAATCCATTCATTTGTAGTTGGACATTTGGACTGTTCTGTGTTCTTGGGATGGTGATTAATGCTGCTATAAATATTAGTGTACAAACCTCAGTTTCTGCCTCAGTTCTCATTTTCTCAGTGTATCTTCCAAGTAGTGGATGGAACAGCTGGGTCATATGGAATTTCTATGTTCAGCAATCTTGGGTATTCTTAGAGCCCATTCCAAGAAATAATCTAAATACATCCTCTTATGTTGTTGGGGTTTACAGGAAGTATGGAGTCTGTCCAGTCAAGGTGGGTGAGCCTCCTTTCTGTATTTGATTGCACTTCCTCTGGGGGCCCACTTCTCCACTGGGTACCCAGCTGACACAAAATATCTTGGGAATAAATCCACATAGGAATAAATGACCTGCATACTTAGAGACCAGAAAGTCCTCCAAGCCATCCCTTCTCTGTTCCCTTAAGCAAAAAATCATGATAGGAAACAAAACCTCCTAATTTCAAATAATCATTCACATTATGTTGTTGACCAAGTGTATAGCATAAAAAATGAGAAAGAACACCAAGAATGTATAAGTAAACAGATGTAAAGCAGGAGGCCAGCAGTTCCAACAACTGAAGAGCTAAACCCAGCTTTATTTAGAATCAAGCGAAGTAAACCATAAAAAGAATTCTTTTTTATTTTTTAATAGGTTTTTTAAAAAAATTTTATTATTTTTGTGTGAGTGTACTGTCAAAACAGATCTGACACAGATCTGAAATCAGATCTGGTACAGGAGGAGATTGTCCCTCCTTCCCCGGCAGAGCGTCTGGTAGATTGGAACTGTGCGCCTCTGGGATTGTAGTTGCAGCTCCTTGCCACTAGGCCACCAGAGCGCCCCTGAGAATTCTTTTTTAAATGAAGCCAAGTTTCCCCTCTACTGTCAGCCTAATGCTTAGCTCAGGAAGGAAATAGTTCATAGGTATGGACTTTAAAATGTTCCCTCTGCGGGGGGCTGTAGAGGCCTCTGGCCTGCAAGATGCAGCTAATTTCCTGTGATCTGTCCCAAGAGGAAGTCCAGCTTGTATTTTGTGTTTCCTTCATTTCCCTGATTTAAGCATATGTTTATTATATAATACTTGGTTTGAAATTTGTCTTCCCACATTTTCCTCCATTTGTTTTTGCATCATAATTATGCTGTCATCTAGATGAGCACAATTTCTTCTTTTCTTTGATTCATTTTTACTTGTTTTTATTTTCTCCATCCTTTTATACATAAACAATTATGACAAATTAAGCAAAATAAGCTCACAAAAATACTTCCAAAACTCTCCATATGATCTGAAGGATTCAATTGGATATTTCTTCACTAATCTTTGTGGAATATCTATGTTATTAACATAATCCAATTGTTTATCAAAAGCAGAAGGAATCTTATGTGCCGTTGAGTTGCTTGGAACATAGTGGCCCTATGTACAATAGCTCTGAACCCTGCTCTATCCTGTGCCAACCTTATTGTTTCTGACACACCTAGTTATTACCCCAGTCACTGAGGCCATCCAGCTCATCAAGGGCCTTCCTCTCCTGTGTTGTCCCTCCACCCTCTCAAATATGATGTCCCTCTCCAAGGATTGGTCCCTCCTTGCATGATGCCCAAAATATGTCAGATGAAGCTTCAGAATCCTTGCCTCCAAGAAGCAGCCTTGTTTTACCCTCTCTAGAATGTCTCCAGTCTCCATGGGTCCAGAAAGTCTGCATTCCTAGAGATTCTGTACTTACTGTTGTCTCAATCAATGGTGGACTTGAAAGTTGCATCAAAGAGCTAATGTCCCACAAAGTATAAAGTATTTACTTTCTGCAACTTTGGGGAGAATAAGTGCCAAATTTCACCCAAACTACAGTAAAAATAATAATAAAGAGAAACTGGAAATCCCCCTCAATACCGAAACCTGGCGTCTTGTGATGGAATTAAATGAGAGGAAGAAAGATATACACAAGTCTCATTGTTAAGCTGCATGGATGCCTACAGAGGCTCTGGAGGGAGGGCTGCCCTCACTGAGTGATGGGGACAAGAGAGGACAGTGCGAAAGAGAGAGCATATGCTAAGAGATGCTCACTGTAACTGCTCACTTAGCCGATTCCAACTTGGAGCTACCTCCATTGCGCTTCTGCTGCAGACTGAGAGTAAAGTATTTTTATAATTATCAGTCATGAGACAGACAACTAAGAATGAAATAAAACAGAGAGCAAAGATGGGGGCCAGCAGTTCTCTGCTGAAGACCACCGTTCCAGCTTCCCTGTATCTTTATTGAAAATTATCAGGAAGTAAATCACAAAGAGAATTCAATGCAAATGAAGCCAAGCTCTTTCTATTGAAAACCTTCCCCTTGACTCAGGAGGGAGGGGTCAGCAAATGCAAGAATCAGGGTAAATCCTTAAGGATTGACTTAGTGCCTCAGGGTGAACCCATCCTGAAACAGCATTCGGTTTATTTCAAATAATTAGTATTGGTTTCCCCTGGAAATCTTAACTGGAGAAGTCTTGTCATCTTTTCTCCATAGAATCGTGCTTGTATTACAACTTCCAGATACATAGCACTCCAACATGCTACAGACTATGTCACCAGAGCTCCTTGGCAGGGTGCTGTTGCTGTTGTTAGGTGCCATGCAGCGGTCCACAATTCACAATCACCTTATGAATAACAGATCTGAACCTGGCCTATCCTGCACCATCCTCTCCATTTCTGGCATGCTCCAGAATTTTTTCTTTCTTTTGGTAGGATCGTCATTTTCACTATGTTGAGTCTTTCTATCCATGAACAGAGATCATTTTTTCCATTCAGTTAGTTCTCTTACTGTTTCTTACTCGGTACTGATTTGCAGTTTTCTTTATACAGGCATTCTGTGTCTCTAGTTATATTTACTCCCAAGTATCTCAGTTTGTAGTTGGTTATTAGAAATAGTACTGCTTTCTTAGTTTCTTTTTCCATGTTTTTTTTTGTTACTGTAGGACAATCTCACTGACTTTTATATATTGATCTTATATCCTACCGTTCTACTAACTTGGTCTAATTAGTCTAATAGATTGTGTTTTTTTGTTTTTTTAATTGAGTGTTTAGATTAGACTAGAATGTAAGATTTAAGATTAAACTATAATGTTAAGGGGGAAGTAACTTTATATTAATAATAGAGTAACAACGAGAAACAGAGTGTGAGATTGGTCATACAATTAGAAAAAGTAAATTCACTCTCACCAAGCTATACTTTAATAAAATACTGAAATCATATATACTACTCTGTATATTCATAACAACAACGTAACAAAAAGAAATTTCAGGGGGAAAAACCAAACATGTGAATGACCCATGGTTCTATATTGGATAGTTTGCCGATCTTTAGTCTAGATGATATAGATGTACAGTGAGGCTATGGGGACAGACCAGCACAACAGCTACGTGGAAAAAGCAGGTGTGTGCACGGCGATAAAGATGGGAGGCACAGTAAGCCTTGAACAGCGGTATTGATATCTGGTGGTCTGTGCTCCTCAGATCATGTCCATCATGTTGGCCCAGAAGACGTCCTTGTAGTGCTGGGTTTGGCTCAACATCCCATCAGTGCATCCAACCTGGAGGACAAACACCCAGAGCTAAGGAAGTCAGTACCTGTGGCAGACGGACTACACCCACGCTGGGAAAGGACTTACCTTTGGAGGTGGCGCTGAGCCGGCTGTGCTTGAGCAGGACATTAGCCTGTTCTTGCGTTTTCTTCCTGTCACCATTCTCAGTCTTCACTGGTGAATGGCTCTCTGTCAGAGGGAACTGACTTCGAGTTATGCTTTTTCAACTCCCTAGCTGCATAGACCTGGCTAGCTGACTTAATGGTTCTGAGCACTCTGGGGTGGACAGGTATTTGCATCTTTAAATGTCACTTACATTTGAATTACAGGATGGTTCACTGGGTGGATAAAATTCTGTCTAAGGGATGTCCTGAAAGACACCAGACACTAAAATGCATTCTAAAACCTTTAGCTGCTATAATGCATCTTGCTTTGAGATTTAAGGTCCAATGTTTCACAAAGCAGGGCCTCTGGACTAGTGATGCCAGCAGCCACCTCTCAGGAGCCATGATGACTGTATGGTGTGTGCTGATCTGCTCACTGAAGGGATAGCATTTCTGACACCCAGATGCTCTGAGTGAGAAGGAAGGCAGTTTTACTCCCATAAAGTTCAGACCCTTGGAAACATAATATGAGAGGTCTACACTGTCTGTAGGATCTCTGTTAATCAGAGAGGAATGTGGCATCAGTATTGGAAGGAGATGCATCAATAATTTGTGTTTTGCAGATGACATAAACTTGCTTGCTTAAAGAGAGGAGGACTTGAAGCACATGTTGCAGAAGATAAGGAATGCTGCCTTCAGTATGGATTGCATCTCAATGTCAAGAATACAAAGATTCTTACCACTGGACTGATTGGCAACATGTCTGGAAAGGAGATTGAAAATATCTACAGTTACACATTATTGGATCCACATTTCACACTGTTGGTACCAGCAGTCAG